GATGTTGATGAGGTGGTGGTGCTGGTGGATGATGTGCTCGTGCTGCTGGAAGAGGTGGAAGTTGTTGAGCTGGACGACGTGGATGTGCTCGTGCTGCTGGTGGAACTAGAAGACGTGGATGTCGAAGATGTGCTGCTGGAAGACGTGGATGTGGAAGACGTCGAGCTGGACGATGTTGATGAGGTGGTGGTGCTGGTAGATGACGTGCTCGTGCTGCTGGAAGAGGTTGAAGTTGTTGAGCTGGACGTCGAGGATGTTGAAGAAGTCGAAGATGAGCTACTAGAAGTGGATGTAGATGTAGTGCTTGTGCTGGAAGATGTCGTGCTTGTGGACGAAGTGGACGATGACGATGTTGATGTGCTTGATGTACTGGAAGAGGACGTGCTGCTTGACGAAGTTGTTGTACTGCTCGTTGAAGTAGATGTCGTGCTGCTAGTGGAAGTGGATGAGGAGGATGAGGTCGTTGAGGAGGTGGTAGATGATGTTGAAGAGGTGCTCGTGGATGATGTTGTAGTTGTAGAAGTACTCGTGGAGGTTGTACTAGTTGACGATGTGCTACTGCTACTAGTCGAGGACGAAGTCGTAGAAGTCGAAGTAGAACTCGTCGAGGACGACGAGGTGCTGGTCGATGTGCTTGACGTTGATGTGGTGCCTGCCAATGGACAGCACAAGATCTGAAAGTGGATATCAGATAAGCATTGTTGCTTCGGTGATGGAGCAAACTTAGGGACACCGCGCGCAGGGCAATGAGGCTTTGGTTACACAATGTCGTTCGTCTCAAACCCCCTCATGCTGAACTGGCAATCAACCGTCGGTGCATGTCTAACCTCACCTGGCGCTGTAGGCCCAACAACACAACTCAACTCAAGTCCTCAAAATTCGAAAGGCGTGGACTCGCGCTCGGGAGAATCTGCTTCATGCCTTGCGTAGCTGCAACATGCAGCCAAGACCAGCCAAGTTACTGGTACTGGAGGTGCTTGAGGTGCTGCTTGTGGATGTGGATGAAGAGGTAGTGCTGCTAGAGGTGCTCGAAGTACTGCTTGTGGAAGAAGTTGAAGTAGATGTAGTGCTGCTGCTAGTGCTGCTCGAGGAAGTTGAGGTTGACGAGGTACTGCTGGATGACGTTGTAGTCGAGGATGTGCTTGTGGTGCTGCTACTGGTGGAGGATGTACTGGTACTGCTTGTGGAGGTAGAAGAGCTTGAGGAAGTTGTTGAGGAAGTGCTAGTTGTAGATGACAAAGTCGAAGATGTCGATGTGGTACTGCTGCTGGTGGACGAAGTGCTTGTTGACGACGAGCTGGTGGTGGATGTTGACGTGGAAGATGTTGATGTAGACGAGGAAGAAGTGCTGGTCGAGGATGTCGAACTCGATGATGTGGAAGTGGAAGATGTGGTTGTGGAAGATGTGGTGGTCGATGACGTCGTGCTGGATGACGTGGACGTCGAACTGCTGCTCGTCGAAGAAGTGCTCGTTGACGATGTCGATGATGATGAGGTCGATGTCGATGTCGACGACGTGCTGGATGTGGACGTTGAGGTCGACGAAGTTGATGTCGTACTGGTGCTTGTGGAGGATGTGCTCGTAGACGAAGTACTGCTGGAAGAAGTGCTGGTACTTGTGGTTGATGTAGATGAAGATGATGTGGAGGTTGAGGATGTGCTTGACGAGGATGTTGAAGTCGATGAAGTCGATGTAGTGCTGCTGCTGGTCGAGGAAGTGCTTGTGGATGATGTACTGGTGCTGGTGGTTGAAGAAGATGAGCTTGACGTGGATGTTGACGACGTGCTTGAGGAAGAAGTTGAGGTTGACGACGTCGAAGAGGTACTGCTGCTTGTGGATGTGGTGCTGGTAGATGAGGTGCTGGTACTGCTCGTGGACGTAGACGAGCTTGATGTCGATGTTGACGACGTGCTTGAGGAAGATGTCGATGTCGACGAAGTCGAAGTTGTACTGCTGCTGGTCGAGGAGGTGCTTGTAGACGATGTGCTGGTACTGCTGGTGGACGTGGACGAAGTTGATGTAGATGAGCTCGATGTTGATGTTGAGGACGTGCTTGATGAGGATGTTGAAGTCGATGAAGTCGACGTGCTACTGGTGCTTGTGGAGGTTGTGCTCGAGGATGAAGTGCTGGTGCTCGTCGTGGAAGTAGAAGAGCTTGACGTGGACGTTGATGAGGTGCTTGAGGAGGATGTTGATGTCGACGAAGTCGATGTCGAACTGCTACTGGTGGAGGATGTGCTCGTAGAGGAAGTGCTCGTGCTGGTGGTTGACGTAGATGATGAAGATGTGGAGGTTGAGGACGTGCTTGATGACGATGTTGAAGTCGATGAAGTCGATGTGCTGCTAGTGCTTGTGGAGGTTGTGCTCGAGGATGAAGTGCTGGTGCTCGTAGTGGAAGTAGAAGAGCTTGACGTCGATGTTGACGAGGTGCTTGAGGAGGATGTTGAAGTCGACGAAGTCGACGTCGAACTGCTGCTTGTGGAGGATGTGCTCGTAGAAGAGGTGCTCGTGCTGGTGGTTGACGTAGATGATGAAGATGTGGAGGTTGAGGACGTGCTTGACGAGGATGTTGAAGTCGATGAAGTCGACGTGCTGCTAGTGCTTGTGGAGGTTGTGCTCGTGGATGAAGTGCTGGTACTGGTGGTTGAAGAAGATGAGCTTGATGTGGATGTTGACGACGTGCTTGAGGAAGAAGTTGAGGTTGACGACGTCGAGGAGGTACTGCTGCTCGTGGATGTGGTGCTGGTAGATGAGGTGCTGGTACTGCTCGTGGACGTAGACGAGCTTGATGTCGATGTTGACGACGTGCTTGAGGAAGATGTCGATGTCGACGAAGTCGAAGTTGTACTGCTGCTGGTCGAGGAGGTGCTTGTAGACGATGTGCTGGTACTGCTGGTGGACGTGGACGAAGTTGATGTAGATGAGCTCGATGTTGATGTTGAGGACGTGCTTGATGAGGATGTTGAAGTCGATGAAGTCGACGTGCTACTGGTGCTTGTGGAGGTTGTGCTCGAGGATGAAGTGCTGGTGCTCGTAGTGGAAGTAGAAGAGCTTGACGTGGACGTTGATGAGGTGCTTGAGGAGGATGTTGAGGTCGAAGAAGTCGATGTCGAACTGCTACTGGTGGAGGATGTGCTCGTAGAGGAAGTGCTCGTGCTGGTGGTTGACGTAGATGATGAAGATGTGGAGGTTGAGGACGTGCTTGATGACGACGTTGAAGTCGATGAAGTCGACGTGCTGCTGGTGCTTGTGGAGGTTGTGCTCGAGGATGAAGTGCTGGTGCTCGTCGTGGAAGTAGAAGAGCTTGATGTGGATGTTGACGAGGTGCTTGAGGAGGATGTTGAGGTCGACGAAGTCGATGTAGTGCTGCTGCTTGTCGAGGAAGTACTTGTGGATGTCGTACTGGTGCTGGTGCTTGATGTAGAAGAGCTTGATGTGGATGTTGATGATGTGCTCGAGGAAGAAGTTGAGGTTGACGACGTCGAGGAGGTACTGCTGCTTGTGGATGTGGTGCTGGTAGATGAGGTGCTGGTACTGCTCGTGGACGTAGACGAGCTTGATGTCGATGTTGACGACGTGCTTGAGGAAGATGTCGATGTCGACGAAGTCGAAGTTGTACTGCTGCTGGTCGAGGAGGTGCTTGTAGACGATGTGCTGGTACTGCTGGTGGACGTGGACGAAGTTGATGTAGATGAGCTCGATGTTGATGTTGAGGACGTGCTTGATGAGGATGTTGAAGTCGATGAAGTCGACGTGCTGCTAGTGCTTGTGGAAGTTGTGCTCGAGGATGAAGTGCTGGTGCTCGTAGTGGAAGTAGAAGAGCTTGACGTGGATGTTGACGAGGTGCTTGAGGAGGATGTTGAAGTCGACGAGGTCGATGTCGAACTGCTACTGGTGGAGGATGTGCTCGTAGAGGAAGTGCTCGTGCTGGTGGTTGACGTAGATGATGAAGATGTGGAGGTTGAGGACGTGCTTGATGAGGATGTTGAAGTCGATGAAGTCGACGTGCTACTGGTGCTTGTGGAGGTTGTGCTCGAGGATGAGGTGCTGGTGCTCGTAGTGGAAGTAGAAGAGCTTGACGTGGACGTTGATGAGGTGCTTGAGGAGGATGTTGAGGTTGACGAAGTCGACGTCGAACTGCTGCTTGTGGAGGATGTGCTTGTGGAGGATGTGCTCGTAGAGGAAGTGCTCGTGCTGGTGGTTGACGTAGATGAAGATGATGTGGAGGTTGAGGACGTGCTTGATGAGGATGTTGAAGTCGATGAAGTTGACGTGCTGCTAGTACTTGTGGAGGTTGTGCTCGAGGATGAAGTGCTGGTGCTGGTGGTTGACGTAGATGAGCTTGATGTGGATGTTGACGATGTGCTCGAGGAAGAAGTTGAGGTTGACGACGTCGAGGAGGTACTGCTGCTTGTCGAGGAGGTGCTTGTAGACGATGTGCTGGTACTGCTGGTGGAAGTGGACGAAGTTGATGTCGATGAGCTCGATGTCGATGTTGAGGATGTGCTTGATGAGGATGTAGATGTCGATGAAGTCGATGTGCTACTAGTGCTTGTGGAGGTTGTGCTCGAGGATGAAGTGCTGGTGCTCGTCGTGGAAGTAGAAGAGCTTGATGTGGATGTTGACGAGGTGCTTGAGGAGGATGTTGAGGTCGACGAAGTCGATGTAGTGCTGCTGCTTGTCGAGGACGTACTTGTGGATGTCGTACTGGTGCTGGTGCTTGACGTAGATGAGCTTGATGTGGATGTTGATGATGTGCTCGAGGAAGAAGTTGAGGTTGACGACGTCGAGGAGGTACTGCTGCTTGTGGATGTTGTACTTGTAGATGTGGTGCTGGTGCTGCTCGTGGACGTAGACGAGCTTGATGTCGATGTTGACGACGTGGTGGATGAAGATGTCGATGTCGACGAACTCGATGTGGTACTGCTGCTTGTTGAGGAGGTGCTTGTTGACGAAGTGCTGGTGCTGCTTGTGGTCGTAGACGAGCTTGATGTCGATGTTGACGAAGTCGACGTGGTGCTACTGCTTGTAGACGATGTGCTCGTAGATGAGGTGCTTGTAGATGAAGTGCTTGTGCTGCTTGTGGAAGAGGTAGAGCTGGACGTGGATGTTGAGGATGTGGTCGATGAAGATGTTGAAGTGGAAGAAGATGTTGTAGTACTGCTGCTTGTAGATGATGAGGTAGTGCTGCTCGTGGACGTAGACGAGCTTGATGTAGACGTTGAAGATGTGCTGGTCGTGGAAGAAGTTGTTGAAGAAGTCGATGTAGAGCTGCTCGTTGACGTGCTTGTGCTAGATGTTGACGAAGACGACGTTGAGGTGCTTGTCGACGACGAAGTTGTTGATGATGTCGACGTCGTGCTGCTGCTAGTTGTGCTGCTGCTAGTTGTGCTGCTGCTGGTTGACGAAGTGCTCGTGCTAGTACTTGATGTCGATGAGGATGTTGTGGATGTGGATGAAGTGCTTGTGGACGATGTTGAGCTGGATGACGTCGAAGTCGACGAGGAAGTTGTCGACGTCGTCGAAGTACTGCTGCTGCTTGTCGAGGAAGTGCTTGTTGATGATGATGTGCTGCTGCTCGTAGAAGTGGATGAAGTCGATGTGCTCGTGGTAGACGAGGAAGTCGAAGATGTAGAAGTTGTACTGCTGCTTGTAGACGAAGTGCTTGTGGATGAACTGCTTGTGCTGCTTGTTGTTGTCGTGGATATTGATGTGGTGCTTGTCGTCGTCGATGTCGTAGTGCTGCTGCTGCTGGTAGTGGAGCTGGATGTGGAAGAAGTGGTGCTCGACGATGTCGAAGAAGTGCTGCTGGTGGTGCTGCTTGTTGAGGTTGAAGAAGTGCTGCTAGTCGAAGAGGTGGTTGAGGTTGATGTCGTGCCTTGGTTCGCTTGCGTGATGTGTTTTCCATTACACTGCTTCTACAAGGCGCTGCTCACCGACTCTACAACAGTGCTGTCAGTCAGAAACCCTGTTGACACAGACCTGGAACTGCTATGGACGCCAGAGAAGCTAAGGAACCGTGTGGCTTCCTGCAAAGCTGCTGTAACACCTACATAATCTCGCAGAGTTTGGGGCTTGCAAGGAAGCTGCTTGTGCTGCTTGTCGAGGTTGAGGAGCTTGAGGTCGATGTGGAAGTTGTTGAGGAGCTTGTGGTGGACGTTGAAGTCGTGCTTGTAGTAGATGTCGACGTCGTGCTGCTGGTACTTGACGACGAGCTTGTGCTGCTGGAAGAAGATGTAGAGCTCGACGTGGACGAGGACGTTGTTGTTGTGCTGGATGTCGACGATGACGAAGTCGACGATGTGCTGCTGCTCGTGGATGACGTGCTCGTGCTGCTCGTCGAGGTTGACGATGTTGAGGTGGAGCTTGACGTGGTACTGGTTGTAGATGTCGATGTCGTTGTACTTGTTGACGAAGAGGTGGAGGTCGAGGAGGATGTGCTGGTTGTTGACGACGAAGTTGAAGATGTTGATGTCGTGGTGGAAGATGTTGAAGAGGAGGATGTGGAAGTTGTAGTGCTGCTTGACGAAGTGCTGCTTGTGCTGCTGGTTGAGGTGGTCGACGTGGAGGTCGATGTTGTCGATGTCGTAGTGCTGCTTGACGTGGAGGTGGTACTGCTAGTGGATGAAGTAGTCGACGATGTTGTGGACGTGCTCGAGGTAGATGTTGAAGAAGTGCTGCTGGTGCTTGAGGAGGAAGTTGACGAGCTTGTGGAAGTAGATGTCGAGGATGTGGACGTACTACTTGTAGACGAAGACGTGCTGCTGGTCGAAGAAGTTGATGTCGAGGTGCTACTTGTACTTGTGGAAGTTGTAGATGTCGTTGAAGAGGATGTAGAGGTGGAAGAAGTGCTGGTGCTGGACGTTGACGATGTAGAAGATGTAGATGTCGACGACGACGTGGATGAAGTAGTTGTCGATGAGGTTGACGAAGACGAGGTTGTCGATGATGATGTGGAGGTAGAACTGCTAGATGTGGTCGTGCTGGTTGATGTTGTGGTCGAGGAGCTTGTCGTCGACGAGGATGTTGTGGAAGTAGATGTGGACGTCGATGTGGTTGTTGTGGTGGATGTCGTCGAGGTTGAAGTAGTACTCGAGGAAGTGGAACTACTGGTGCTTGTGGAAGACGACGTTGATGTGGAGCTGCTGCTACTGGTAGTGGTGGAGCTTGATGACGTGCTCGTGCTCGTGGTGCTGGTCGAGCTGGAAGATGTTGATGAAGATGATGACGTTGAAGAGCTGGTGGAAGTGCTGGTGGAGGAAGTGGAGGTGCTACTTGTTGATGAGCTTGAAGTGGATGTCGTGCTGCTGCTCGTGGTGCTAGTGGAGGACGTGGATGACGAGGTGCTACTGCTTGTTGTTGTGGAAGATGATGTGGACGTTGTTGACGTGGATGATGATGTTGTTGAAGATGAAGACGTTGATGAGGTGGAGCTTGAACTTGTAGTGGTCGATGAGGTTGACGAAGACGAGGTCGACGATGATGAGGTGGAGGTAGAACTGCTAGACGTAGTCGTGCTGGTTGATGTTGTGGTCGAGGAGCTTGTCGTCGACGAGGATGTTGTGGAAGTAGATGTGGACGTCGATGTGGTTGTTGTGGTGGATGTCGTCGAGGTTGTAGTAGTACTCGAGGAAGTGGAACTACTGGTGCTTGTGGAAGACGACGTTGATGTGGAGCTGCTGCTACTGGTAGTGGTGGAGCTTGATGACGTGCTCGTGCTTGTGGTGCTGGTCGAGCTGGAAGATGTTGATGACGACGATGACGTTGAAGATGTGGATGAACTTGACGTGCTTGTCGTACTGGATGTAGAGGTCGTGGTGCTGCTAGATGACGAAGTGGAAGTTGAGGTCGTGCTGGAGCTTGTGCTGGTAGAAGATGTTGTCGTCGAAGAAGTTGAACTGGTGGATGAGGAGCTTGTGCTACTGCTGGTGGATGTCGTAGTGCTGCTGCTCGTCGAGGTGGAGGTAGAAGTCGTTGTGGTTGACGAGGAAGTGGAGCTAGAAGATGTCGAAGTGGATGTGCTGCTGGTGGAACTAGAAGATGAAGTGGATGTGCTTGACGATGTTGTGCTCGTGCTTGTGGTAGATGATGTGGTCGTTGAAACACTTGTTGACGAGGTGGATGTAGAAGTCGTCGACGTGGAAGAAGTCGACGAGGAAGAAGTGGAAGAGGAAGAAGTCGAAGTGGAGGATGTCGAAGTGGAAGAACTCGAAGTGGTGGTGCTGCTGGTTGTTGAGCTCGACGTCGTTGTTGAGGTTGACGATACAGTGGTTGACGACGTGGATGTTGTTGTAGACGATGACGACGTACTGGAGGTGGTACTTGTACTTGTGCTGCTGGATGTGGTCGTCGAGCTGCTGGTCGTACTTGAGGACGAGGAAGACGAGCTTGTGGACGACGTAGTTATAGATGTGCTTGTGCTACTGCTTGAGGATGTGCTAGTGGAGGTCAATGTAGAGGACGACGATGATGAGGTGCTCGATGTGCTCGACGTGGTGGTGCTGGAGCTTGTGGTTGTTGAGCTGCTAGTGCTGCTCGATGTACTGGTGCTGGTTGATGTGAATGTGGAGGAAGATGTGCTACTACTTGATGACGTTGAAGAGCTACTAGTTGTGGTGGACACTGTGGAAGTACTGGTGCTTGATGAAGTTGTGGTTGGGGTGGTCGTAGAAGTCGTCGAGGATGATGACGTCGAGGAGGACGAACTACTTGATGAAGTCGTGATCGTACTTGAGGTGCTGGACGAAGTTGTGGAGCTGCTTGTTGTAATTGTGGATGTTGTTGATGTACTTGTACTACTCGTTAACGATGTGCTTGTCGACGTGGATGTGCTCGTTGAGGATGTGCTTGTAGAACTCGTGGTAGACGTTGATGATGTTGCAGTGGTTGAGCTGCTTGTGGTGCTACTCAGGCTTGTTGATGAGGACGAGGACGACGTGGAACTTGATGACGTCGTTGAGGTCGTCGACGTCGACGTGGAGGTGGTGCTACTCACAGTGGAGGATGTCGTGGTACTTGTAACACTGGTGGTGCTTGTGACAGATGTAGTTGATGTAGTTGATGTAAAGGTAGTTGTGGAAGTCCCGCTGGTCGATGATGTCAGCGTTGTTGACGTGGTGACCGACGTGGTGCTGCTGATGCTTGTCGATGATGTGGTACTTGTAGCACTGGTGGTGCTTGTGACAGATGTAGTTGATGTAGTTGATGTAAAGGTAGTTGTGGAAGTCACGCTGGTCGATGATGTGGTACTTGTAGCACTGGTGGTGCTTGTAGTTGATGTAAAGGTAGTTGTGGAAGTCACACTGGTCGATGATGTCACTGTTGTCGACGTGGTGACCGAGGTGGTGCTGCTGATGCTAGTCGATGATGTGGTACTTGTAGCACTGGTGCTGCTTGTGACAGATGTAGTTGATGTAAAGGTAGTTGTGGAAGTCACGCTGGTCGATGATGAGGTGCTTGTAGCAGTGGTGGTGCTTGTGACTGTTGTTGTCAGGGTGGTTGTGGACGAAATACTGGTCGATGATGTCAACGTTGTCGATGTGGTTACCGAGGTGGTTGATGTTAAGGTAGTCGTGGCAGTCACGCTGGTCGATGACGTCAATGTTGTGGAAGTCGTGCCACTGGTGGTACTCGTTGCAGAGGTCGTTGATGTGACTGTAGTCGTAGATGTCACACTGGTCACAGATGTGGTTGCAGTTGTGGTGCTAGTATCAGTGGTTGTGCTGGTTGCAGACGTCGTTGACGTGAACGTTGTCGTGGACGTCACGCTGGTCAATGTTGTGGAAGCTGTGACAGAGGTGGTGCTGCTCACTGTCGCAGTGCTAGTGGTACTCGTCGCCGAGGTACTCGTTGTGACAGTAGTCGTAGATGTCACACTGGTCATAGATGTGGTTGCAGTTGTAGTACTAGTAACAGTGGCTGTGCTGGTTGCGGACGTCGTTGATGTGAAGGTTGTCGTGGACGTCGCGCTGGTCCATGTCGTGGATGCTGTAGCAGAGGTCGTGCTTGTGGTGCTTGTCACCGTTGTAGTGGTAGCCTGATCTTCGCTCCGATTTGTCCCGGCTTCAAAGCACAAGAACCACAAATCGGATCCCTTTTACGGTCCTTTTTAAAAGGGTGCCGTTACTATTTGGGGAGCTAAAAGGGGGACTCCAATCTAGAGAAACCCAGTTTTGGAGTGCCCAAGTCACGGCTTGAAGTCGGCGGCCAATGCCACCAGGATCGGCTCCTTCTGGTTCGGACCGTGGCTGGGAGCTCAAACGAACGATGTGAGGGCTGGACATTCGTACATCAAAGGCCCACCCTGAAAACTAGGAGTAGCAATGGCAAGGAAAGCAATAGCAATAGCATTAGCAATAGCATTAGCAATAGCATTGGCAATAGCATTAGCAATAGCATTAGCAATAGCAGTAGCAATAGCATTAGCAATAGCAGTAGCAATAGCAGAAATAATCATAATAAAAAAATAAGAGTAATCGTAAGAATACTAGGCCTAGGAATAGTAGTCAGCAGTAGTAAAGTAGTAGGAAAAGGAACATGAATATGGATAGGCATAGCCATCGGAACGGTAATCAACAATTGTCTTGTGTGCTTTTCCGGTTGGTTTCTCGCTCCTTCGACAGTAAAACGTAAGAACAGTAATTCAACAAAAGCAATCGGAAACTGTAAATACTTCTTGATGCTAGTCTTGCTTGTTCGGGGCTGTGGCCGCTTGCTTGCTTTGCCTTGCTTTGCTTGCAATGCTTTGTTTTGCTTTGCTTTGTTTCGCTTGCTTGCTTGCTTGCTTGCTGGCTGGCTGGCTGGCTTGCTTGCTTGCTTGCTCGCACGGTTCCTTGCAAGCGCAAGCTGAATGGAAAAATCTGAAAAACTACCGAAACAATAGAGATGCGCAGATTTTTCGCTTTGTGTACGTTCCGCACTAGATGATACCTGTGAGCTTCTCAGCAAATTTCCACAATGTCTATATCTCCCATGGATTTGTGTTGGACTCCTCTAAAGTGTAAAAACATCACTTTTGCTGTGGTGCAGCAGGGCTTTCATTTACAGCACAAGAATAACTACGAAGTCGCCCCCGTTGCCGTCCGTCGCAAAAGGTTTGACCTCGCACAAGTCATGTTCGGGAACCCGAACTTCGGGCACGGCAGCACGACAAGAAAAATTTGGACCAAGCACTGGGGCAGATTTGCAGCCGAAAACCTACCATTACAACATGCTGAAAAGCTGTTTTGAAGTCAAAAAACCCTAGAATCACAACAACAGCAGAAACCACAAGGTGCACTCGAATG